GCTCATGTAGCCTCGTTGGAGGGCATCGCTCCAGAAGATCAAGTCCTGCTCATGGCAGGCACGCCCCTAGAGGATGAGGCTACCCTGGGCCAGTGTGGGGTGGAGGCTCTGAGCACTCTGGAAGTAGCCGGCCGCATGCTTGGAGGTGAGTTGGGGAGGTCTGTGTTTTGAACTGCTTTGTAAGCTCATGGGTGTAGGGTGTGTGCTCAGTCCAGGGTGGTTCTTCCTGTTTACATCTCTCAGAACGAACTTTTTGAGAGGTCCATGGGAGACTGAGCCAGAGTGTCATTCTATTTCAGTCACTTACTAGACAGGACCCTTGTCTGTGTCCCAATTTACTCACTAAAATCAGGAGGTCGGACCAGATCTCCAAAGTGCTCTTTTAGGTCTTAAGGTCAGTAGTTGGAAAATTCTGAAGTGACACCCCAGAATGTACCAGACTAGACATTCTTAGAATTCAAGTCTTTGTGACTTTGTTTTCATTCCCTGTTGGGCCCATCTTGCCTTTAAACTTGAGTTGAGGGAGAAAGGGTTCTGCTGGGTGGGTTCTTCTTCTAACTGCTTGCTGTCCTCTTTTCCTGTCACAGGAAAAGTCCATGGTTCCCTGGCCCGAGCCGGGAAAGTAAGAGGTCAGACACCGAAGGTAAGTGAGAGTATTAGTGGTGTTGTTTGGACTTTGTTTTCTTGTGGCACAGCTAAGCCCAAACCCTTGGCCCTTGCCCTGTTTGCTTTCTCCCTTCTGGCGATGAACCTGAGGGAAGGCATGGAAGAGGCAACCCAGGTTTGATCATCCCTCCCTTTTCCCAGGTGGCCAAACAGGAGAAAAAGAAGAAGAAGACGGGCCGGGCGAAGAGGCGTATGCAGTATAACCGGCGCTTTGTCAATGTTGTGCCTACCTTTGGCAAGAAGAAGGGCCCCAATGCCAACTCTTAAGTCCGTTGTCATCTTGGCTTTCTCTAATAAAGTCACTTAGCTCAATCATCTCATTGTTTCATCTTCATGTGCAGAGCCTCAGGGAGAGATGTGGCTTCTCAGGCTGGTGGTATGAAGAACAGTGAGGCCTCACTTTGGTTTTCTTGGCAGTGTCAAGAGTCAGCAGCTTGGCAGGGATGTGTGGGTGGAAGTGGATGAGTAGTAAACTACAAAAAAAAAAGCTTCCTATGAAAATTGGTAACCATAAATGCTAGCCCTTCAGATGGAGAGTTGAGGAAAATTCCAATCCCAATGCTAAATAACTTGATAATTAACTTCCAAATACTTTCTTTTTTTGGTCTTTTTCTTCTAAACAGAAGATAGCAGGAACCATCGTGGTGGGAGAGGTTTTATAGCGGCAGCAGTGGAGAGGAGATTGATTGAGTAGAAGATGTATCAGGGAACACCAGTCTAGCATTTCCCTGCACTTGGAACCAGCTGTGGCTTTAGTAGAATCCAGACCAGGAATCTGGTCTGCCCCAGCTTCAGAAAGTATTGCCTGATTACATTAGTACTGCAGTGATCTTATTTGTTCTGATTACCTGATGGGCCTTGCTAACCTAATCACAGGTGAGGTGGCTCAGTTGATTGTTTCAGTGTTCCCAGAATTGGGAGATCTCTGGGGCTGATTCAAGTTTCCTCCTAGCCACACATGCATACCCATTCATTCATTCTGCTAAGCTTTTTGAACCTGCTGGTTCTTGGAATACAGCATACTATGGGGTAAAGACCTTGGGCTCTAGACTTGGACTGCCTTGAGTTTGTTTTTTGTTTTTGTTTTTGTTTTTTTTGCGGTACGCGGGCCTCTCACTGTTGCGGCCTCTCCCGTTGCGGAGCACAGGCTCCGGACGCGCAGGCTCAGCGGCCATGGCTCACTGGCCCAGCCGCTCCGCAACATGTGGGATCCTCCGGACCGGGGCACGAACCCGTGCCCCCTGCATCGGCAAGCGGACTCTCAACCACTGCGCCACCAGGGAAGCCCCCTGCCTTGAGTTTGGATCCTTGTTCCATTTATTCACTGGCTGGCTGACTTTTTTTGGGTTGCGCCACACAGCATGTGAAATCTTAGTTCCCCGACTAGGGATCGACCCGGGGCCCCAGCAGGGAAAGTGCCGAGTCCTAATCACTGGACCACCAGGGAAGTCCATTGCCATCATCTCTTGAGAGTTGCTTTGAGGATTTTATGGAAAGTGCTTAGATCAGCACCTGCCCTCTAGAAAGTGCACAAATATATTGGCTATTTTTGAGTTCTACAGTGAGCTTCCTAGAAAGACATTGGCCCCCATCCCTTTTAGGAGTTTAGATTCTTGTGAGGAAAGCAAGGAAACTAGTTACAAGTGTTAATGGTCTCAGAAAGTAAGCAGGGTGCTGTAATAAAAGGGAGTGTGACAGGTAGATAACTATCCTAGGGGAGGTCTCTGACGATGGGGTGTGTGTGAGACCTGAAACAGGAGCTTGATCAGTGGTGAGATGGTGAGAGTTCCAGCCAAGAGACCTGTGTGCAAAGGTGTGTGGCAGATCCTGCAGGGTCTTGTCTGATGTGGAGAGGAGTTTGGTTTGAGTTCAAGTGCAGGTCAGGGTTTTAAGCAAGGGTCTGATGTGATCTGACTCGTGATCTAGTATTTTCTCTGGCTGACTCTTCTGGAGGGCTGGCAAGAAAAAAGGAAACCAGTTAAGCTGGTGTCATCCAGTTGAACAAGTAGTAGCTTAGACCACCAGTGGTGAAGGGGATACAAAAATGAGCAGACTCTTCAAATCCATCCAGATCTTGGTGGGGAAACAGATGATCCAAATTGAGATAGAGACAAGGTATTTCGAAGGCAGAGCTGACTAGAGGTGGGGCTTGGATATGAGTGAGGTGAGGGACCAAAGAACCAGAGCTTACTTTTAGGGGTGCCATGGATCAAGGCTTCACAGCGCTTGGCACAGTTTGTGAGTCGTCACCCGCACTCTACCACAAACTGTAAGGTCCATTAGGGCAGGAACCTCATATTTTGCTCTTCAGTGTGTTTTCGCCGCCTAGTGTGAAGTTTGCACTTTAAAGTTGGATGAGGAAGTCGAGCAGGAGCTCAAATATTTGTTAATGCTTCTTTCTTCTCAAGAGGGGAAATGCCCCCAACACACCCAGTCTAGGCTAGGTACCCCACCTTGGCCTTCCACTCTCCTCTTTGTCTGTGTCCCCTAATAGAATGGCTGCCCCTTCAGCGCAGGGACGCCTCATCTCCCATGGGCTTAGCACAGTTAGTGGCCCAAAGTAGATTAAGGTTAGCAAAGATTGGGTTTTGCCGCAGCGCTTTATAGTGCTAAAAAGGCAACCACTAGGGGGCGAGCTGGTACCGGCGAAGCGTCCGCTGGACGCACTTACCCTACGCTCCCACCGCGCAGGGCCGAGCTCCGCCGAAGCCGGGGCTGAGCTCGTACCTCCCCACCGGTTCCGGCGCATGCCCAAGCGCGGCTCAAGGGAGGGGTGGGGCTTCGCTTCCGAGTGTGGGCGGAAACTGACTACAATCCTCGAAGAGCTTTGACTAAGCGCTCAGTCGGCCCAGCAAAGAGGCGGAAGTAACCGAGAAGCGCCGGAAGATTTTGATCTGCTGCCCTTGTGAGTCCCCGGGTGGTGCGCGGCTCCAGTTGCCATGGAGCCGGCCGGGCCTTGTGGTTTCTGCCCCACCGCGGAGGCCCAGCCAGCGCGCTACACCTGCCCTCGCTGTAACGTGCCCTACTGCTCGCTGCGCTGCTACCGGGCGCATGGCACCTGCGCCGAAGACTTCTACCGTGACCAGGTGCTGGGAGAGCTGCGCGGCCGCAGCGCCTCTCCCAGCCGCCTGGCCGGCGCCCTACTCCGGCTGCGTCAGCAACGTGAGACCGAGGACGAACCCGAGGACGCAGGCCTCAGGCCTGGTCCGGCGCCCGGCGGCCTCTCAGGACTCTGGGAGCGGCTGGCCCCGGCCGAGAAGGCGGCCTTCGAGCGGCTGCTGAGCCGAGGCGAGGCCGGGCGGCTGCTGCCCCCGTGGCGGCCTTGGTGGTGGGTTCGCGGCACTGGGCCGCGGCTTCTGGAGGAGCTGGGTGATGCCCCGGGCTGTAACGCCGAGGATCTGGAGCCCTCCCCTGCGAGGACGCCACCGGAACCCGAGAAGGATGAGCCTGCGGCTGCCGAGCCAGTTCTCGGAGACGCCCCCGGGGCCTGCCCTCCCGCCGTGCCCACCCGGATCCCCACTCTGGCCAGCCTGAGCAGGGGCCGGGCGTCGCCGCTCGTGCGCTTCCAGCTGCCCAACGTGCTGTTCGCCTACGCACACACTCTTGCCCTGTATCACGGCGGTGACGAGGCTCTGCTCTCTGAGTTCTGTGCCACGCTGCTCAGCGTTTCTGGAGTCCTGGGCACCCAGCAAGTCTTCGCCTGTACCGAGGAGGCCCTGCAGGCCGCAGCCCACGTGCTGGAAGCAGGCGAGCATCCCCCCGGACCCCTGGGCACACGGGGTGCCATGCGCGAGGCTGCCCTCATCCTGCTGGGTGAGGGCCCGGCCAACCAGAAAGGCTACACGTTGGCAGCACTGGGGGACCTGACACAGACCCTGGGCCGAGCCCGGAAACAAGCTGTGGCCCCTGAGGAACGAGATCGCCTCTACCGGGCCCGAAAGAAGTGCCAGTTCCTGCTGTCTTGGACCAACGAAAACGAGGAGGCCCTCACACCCCTGGCTTTAGACTGCGCCAGGGCTCACCGAGCCCACACTGTGGCAGCCGTGGAGGTGGCAGCCCTCACTGGGGAGCTGGAGCAGCTTTGGGGAGGCCCCCTGCCACCTGCCCGGAGGACTCTCATTGAGGAGCTCCTTGGCTGAACTGGACACTCTTTGTCATTAATAAAGCTGTGACTGGTCTGCCCTGTCGCCAGTGCCCATTTCTGAGTGACAGCTGTTGTGCCACCCACCCCCAGACGCTTGGGCCCACAGACCACCTGTCAGCTTCTCCCTGATCGGGGCTGACCCAGCCAGTTTTTAAACAGCCTGGCCCCAGAAAGGGAGAGCAGCAGCACCAAGCGTTCCAGATGTTTATCCAAGGAGGAGGAGCAGCCCCTCCACTCCATTTTGTCTTCGTTTTCCCCTTTTGCTCCCACCACCTGTCAGGCTGTTCACCCCTGCCTGTCGGAGCTCAGAGCAGGGTAGGGTGCAGGCCCTTGAGTGCCAGGTGAGTCCAGGCTCCTGGTGCTGGGTGTGCTGGCAGCTGGGTGGGCACGTGGCCCGACCTGGGACACGTGGAGCTGCTTCAGTAGATGTAGGGCACGATTCGGTAGGGCACGCGCCGGCAGTATGCATGCCAGGCCAGGCCATACTTCTGCAGACACTGCTGCTCGTCCCGGGCCTCACGGTGTGCCAACAGCGCAGTGAAGTAAAGGAGATAGAAGTAGGGCAACAGGTGGGACACCCCTGTGAGGAAAGGGGTCTCTCTGACCACTCAAGCCAGCGCCCCAGTTCACAAAGGTTTCCACAGCTAATGGCTCACGGGGCCCTCCAGGCTCCATGGTGAAAGGTCCAGGGTCTGCAGGGAGTGCTGGCGTGCTAGGCTGTCACAGAGGTCTGGCCCAGCCACACCCTGAGTCCATCCCCAGCTCCCTGACTACTCCGTCCACTGGGGTGCAGCCCCGTCCTCCATTCCACACCCAGACTGGGCATCCTGTGCTCACCACTCCACCTCTGCCCCTCACACACTTAATGGCCCCTGCCGTGCGCCAACCCAAACCACTCACCGCAGGGCAAGGACCAGGCCAGAGCCATGATGAGGTCTCCAAGGTAGTTGGGATGGCGGACCATACCCCACCACCCAGACACCAGCAGCCGTCGCCCTGTGGCTGTAGAGATGGTCTCAAGGTCTGGGGAAAGACGTAGTGGGATGGGGGACCCTCTGGAAGTCCAGCTGCCCGACCTCACTTCATGGCACCCCAGAAACCCAGCTCACCAGCCACTCTGGGATCAGAAGGATTCTTCCGGAAGGTGTTTTTCTGAGAATTGGCTCCACGGAAGATGTAGTAACCAACAGCTGGGAGAAAGCATGAGCAGGCAGTCAGGGGCCTTGTCTCTGACCCTGACCAACTACCCACAGCCTAGACTCAGTCTGCCAGGAGAGCCAGGACCCAGCCCTTGGCTTTAAAGAAGGGTGTGAGGCTTAGCACCTACCTAGTGGGTGCTGAATAAATAGCGAACGAATGAAAGGGGGAGGGAGAACGCTGCCCCTTCCTGACTGACCATTGATGAGGCAGATGACCGAGGCCAGGGGCAACCCCAGGGGCTCTGGGTGGTACAGCAGGAACTGGGCCTGCAGGCTGTAGGTGAAGGGTACCCAGGCGAGGTCCCCAAAGGCCAGCATGAAGCCAAACCCGTCATGTATGATGTCCATGGTGGTGAGGACCGCCTCCTGCAGGGACAGGACCCAGACACACTGGCTCAGTCCCCACGAGGTCCTCTCGTGGGAGGCACCCTCTCCCTCCCTAGCCAAGTCCTGCCTCACCTCGTGCCAAAGGGCATCACCCACATATAGTAGCTGGAAGCCATTGACCAGCCACATGGCCAGTGAGGGACTCCCCCGAAGTTCTGCTTCCTGCATCAGCAATGCCAGGTTGATGAGGACCTGGGGGTCACACAGAGGGTGAGACGGGGCACAGAGGTGGCAGCGCCTGGAAAGGCAGTGGCCTGCCTGTCCCCTTCTCTCAGCTGTCCGTCACTAACTCTCCAGGCCTTTGTTGAGTGGCTCCAGCCCCTGTACCCAGGGGCAGAGAGACCGCACTGGACCACCTCCTGACCTGTTTTCTCTTGCCGTGTCCTGCAGTGTTCCCTTTGGGAGAGCACTGTAGGGAGCAACTGCATACTTCAGGCTTGAGAGTTAAAACAGACCTGGTTTTGAATCTCAGCTTTGCCACCTGGGCAAGCTGCTTACCCTCTCTAAAGCCTATTTTCCCCACCTCCATGTAGAAAAGGGAGATAATCATGGACCGTAATGTGTGTGAAGCGCCAAGCACCTAGTACGTGCTCAATAATGATTAGCTGGCAGCCAGCCTGTACTGAGCACCACCATTCTGGTAGCACTGGGCTTGAGGCTGCCAGTCAGGTTACCGCCTCTAATCCTCACAATAATCTTGGGAGGAAGCTCTTACTTTATCCCATTTCACACATGAGGAAACAGCCTTGAAGACCAGATCTGTGACGGGTGCCCAGCACTCCTCCCGTCTCTGGATGAGGTGGTTTCCAGGGTGACAGGGACCTTGCCCAAGAAACCCTTCAGGAAATCTTGACCATAGTCCAGTATGGGTGATTATAACCAAAAAAACACAGCTGGCCTGTTTTCAAGGCTACCAGTGACAGACAGGTTGCTAAACCCAGTGACCAGTTTGAAGTTCTGCACCACTTTGACCAGCAAGCAGCACAGGATCACTCTCTCTTCTCGAAATAGATTTTGCGCTTGACCGCTTTACTTAAAATTGCACCTGCTCTCCTAACTCCCTCACTGCTTTTTCCCCATAGCACTTAGCATCCCCTGACACGCGATACATATTTTACTTATTTTTTGTCTGTCTTTCCCCACTAGAATGCAGACTTCATGAAGACAGAGATTTTTTTTCTTTCTTTCCTGTAACTTTTCTTTCTCTTGTCTCCCAGTACCTAGAGCAGTGCTTGGGCACGTGATGGACTCAACAAATTATTTGTGGAATGAATGATTAATGATTTATGTCAGCACAATATTGGCCCTGCCCTGCCCAGGCACTGCTCACCCATCCCACCCCTCCTCCTGGCTGGAAGCCCACTCAGCCATGCCCAGCATACCCAGCCGATGAGGCCAGGCCTCAGTTCGCAGAAATATTTGAAGTCAAAGGAACAGATGCGCGGGTTGAGCTCCCGTCCCAGGAAAAAGTCGTAAATGGGATTGCCTGGAGAATAATGGAGGGTGAGGTGCAAGCAAGCACCCCTATCTGCCTCCATCCACACCCTACTGGGACTCGTCTCACCTGAGTTCCCCCCGGGTGCCAGGGCAGAGGCAGGGGCTACCAGAGCCTTCAGGTAGAGAAGGAGGCTGAAGATGAAGGCGATGAGGGTAGCCGCAAAGGCCAAGGGCAGGAGCATTTCCGGGAGCGCGCTCAGGGGCAGCCCGGCTAACACTCCCAGGCCCACCAACAGGGCTGTCAGCACCAGGGCCTGGAAGCCTGAACCACAGCACACAGTGAGACCTGGGGATTGCGCCCCTCCCCCTCCCCCCCACCCCCAAATACACACACACGCACGCACGCACGCACACAGTCTAAAGCCCAGGGAGGTCGCAGACCTTGTCCCGAGCCATTGGTCAGACATTGGTCACCCCAGCCACTTCTCTGGTGCACAGAGTGACAGCAATGCTGGGAGTGGAGGGAGGAGGGGTGTGGAGGGAGCCAGTGGAACCCCCTACGTCCTGGGCGTAAAAAAGGCACAAAATAGAAATTGGGGTCGTGGGCTCATCTCCACAGACCTCCCCACCGGGCCTGGGGCTCCACCCCCATCCCCACAACTCCGCGCGAGGACCCAGCCCCCAAGCACCGTTAATGGGGTAGCGCAGTCGACTCTTGTCCTTCAGTTCCTGCCCCTCGGCCACCTGTGGGCACAAAAGGGCGCTAAGGGTTGAGGGTGTCTTTCTTCTTGCCGAGCCCCCTCTCTCCGCCCGCCTCCCCCGCGCGTCCGCGAGCCGAGTCCGCACCTTGCGCGCCGGCAAGAGGTAGAGCGCCGCCTGCAGGCCGAGCCAGGTGAGACACAGCAACAGCGCCCACGGGCTCCACAACTCCTCGAGTTCCGGCAGGTAAGGGGGTGGGCCCAGGAGGCGCGCTGGGCCCGAGCGGGCTACCAGTAGCAGGTGGAACATGGTGGCGGGGAGCAGCAGCAGCAGTGCCGCAGCGCCTGGGGAAGGGGGCAGCCGCGTCGGGGGTCCACTCTCCAACTCTCCCGGACCCCCACAGGCGCCCTGTCATAGCCAGGGCCCCGTCAGCATTCCCATCGCCGCCTTCCACACCTCGTTCTCAGCGCTCGGCCCCCTTCTCTGACTGCTGTCTTGGTCCCCTCGAGGGTCCTGCTCGCGTTCCCCCTAGTCCGCCCGGTCCTCTATGCCACAAATCCCCTGCTCTGCAGCCGCCAGAACTGTCTCCTCCTCAGCCCCCTCTCCAGGCGCTTCCCCGCACACTCCTAGATCCTCTGACTCCCGGTACCCCTCAAAGGCTTTCATCCTCAGACCCTGCCCCCATCCCAGCTCATAGCTCAACCCTCCAGTTCTCCCTCGCATAGCTCTGGCCCCAAGTACCCCCTGTTTCTGCCCATTACCCAGGGGTCCTCCGAATTCCAGCTCAGCCCGGGAGCCCTGAGGGGCCATGGTCTCCTCCGCTCCGCCGGGGGTTGGGGGCTCTCAAAAGTCCGTCAAGGAAACACAGCCCACCCCATCCCCCAGGAGATGGGCTCGGTGACGCGGAGGACCCAGCCGAGCTGGGCTTGCACCTGTCTCTGCACAGACAGCGACCGCTTTTGTCCCGAGGTCTTTAAATGGACCCGCCCCCGGCCCATCCTGGGCCCAGCAGGTCAGCCAATCGTCTCTCAGGGGCGAGACCAACAGGACCGCCTCCAAAGCCGCCTCTGTAGTCTCAGGCTCACAGCTCCACCTCCCTCCCCCCACAAGCCCCGCCCAGGCAGGCGACAGGGAGCAGGAGACAACATGTCTTTTATTAGGCAGGCCCCGAGGGGAAGGGCCACCAGGGCGGGCCACCAGGTCGGGACACAAGGGGATGAGTGGATTGGTGTGACCGGGCCTAGCCACGCTCACAGATGACCTCGACGACACTGGGTTCCATGGGCACTGGGTCCGGGCAGCGCAGGGCAGCTGAGGCCACCACTTCGTCCAGCAGCAGGTGCACAAGCTCCTCATCAGCCACAAAGCGCCACAGGTAGAGCTGCAGGAAGTGGCAGTCCACCTGCACCTGCTGCAGCCCAAAGCGCCCAAAGGTGCGCAGTCGCACGCACTCCAGCAGTGTCTTCAGGCTGATTTTGATGATGCCGGTCAGCACCGACACCTGCAGGTAGGGACACAGGGATGCAGATCCACTACGGCAGGTGTTGGGGAGGGGTACTAGATCCCCGAGGAAGGGCACCCACGTTCTGTGCAGGGGCCAAGGAGATGGCAAAATGCCAGTAGCTGTGATGGGGTGGAAAGTCCCAGGACCCAGGTAAGAGGGAGGGACCATACAAGGTTGGCCCCATCATCTGGCGGGGAGCGGACAGGGAGGGTCCAGCAACCTGAGGCAGAGATGGGGGTCAGCATTGACATGGGGAGGGGAAAAGCTTACTGAGCTGGAGGGAGAGTATCAGGTCCCTGAGCACGGGCTGGGCTGGGGCAGGGCCCATGGTGTGACTAGGAATCCCTGGGGAGGACCCAGGGCTATGGTGGGGATAAGGACAAGGGCCAAGAGGTATACTAGATTGTCACCCAGACGCGGGCAGAGGGCTATGAGATGGTGACGGTGGGGCTCTGGATGACCACTCACTCCTAGAAACATCCCTCAGAAACAGAGACTGGGGGTGGTCAGAGTCCTAGGGCTCCCTGGGCCAATGCAGGGCTGCTATAGCCAACCTTCCCAAGGGGCCCTGGGAAGGCAGGGTCACTGTGGACTTCAGACCTTATTGAACTCCACAGGACTGAACACGTCAATACGCTCAGAGAACAGCTTCTGGATGTTGCTCAAGAGGTTGGTGTCCATGGGGGCACTGAACGGGAGGAGACAAGCAATCAGAGCCCACCCCTGCACCCCGGTCCTCCTTTTTCCATCCTCCCTGCACCTACCCTGACCAGCCAGACCTGGGTGTGTAGCTGGGTGCATAACGGCCCTGCTGCCGAGAGCTGCTGTAAACGGAGAAGGTCCTCTTGCTAGAGTCGCTGCTCTGGGCCTTGCGAACACCCTCCTCATACAGGAGCCCCACCTGGTGGTGGAAGGAGGAACTGCAAGGAGGCCAGGGCACGGGGAACATGCAGCCCACCAGGTGCCTTGGGCAAGGGCCAAGGATGCCCTAAGTTACACACTCATTTGTTATAAGAATCACAACCGTTATAAAAACCACAGGGTAGTTAGGGCCTGTACCTAGTTGGTACCCAGTCACTATTTACAGAACCAGTGGAGTGGGGCAAGAGTGGAACATAAGAGTTGGTAGTGAGGCCAAATCTTCAGGGCCAACCCTGACCTGATTTCCTGGGTGACTCTGGGCCTCAGCTTCCTCCTCCTAGCTGAAATGGGGGTGATGATGCCACCATGGCTGAGGAGGAAGGCCGTAGATGCCTGGCCCGGTAGGCACTGCCTGGCCCCTCCTGTCATGATCCTCAGAGGGCTGTTCCCCCAGCACCCCCAGCCCACATCAGAGTTCCCCTGGCCAGCCCAGGGCAGCACCTGCACATCGATAGCTGTCGTGTCCTCCACCACCCGCTTCATGACAGCACGCACATTCCGAGGCTCCAGGGTACTGAGCCAGTCCCGTGTCTCCACACTCTTGCGCAGCATCTGCGATATGACCAGGCCCTGCACCTTCACATAGTGGGTTAGCAGCCGCCGTGCCGTCTCCCTGGCCTCCGCACACAGTGTGCTCACGGGTGTCACTGGAGACTGGTCCTGAGCCAGGGATGCAGAGGACAGACAGGCAGTGGGCACTGGGGGCCGCTCTGCAGCCACTGGCCACCAGGAGCTGGGCACAGGCTGGGCAAGGGGCAGGCTGAGTTGGGCACAGGCAGCCCTGACCATGAGGGCACTGCCCAGCCTCCTGTGTTCCTAGCATCACCTCCCCCCACCCTGCTCTGAGCTAGCAGCTCACCTGCACCAGAAACTGTTCGTCGGTGAGGGTGAGGATGTAGGAGATGGTGGCGGTCTCGTAGTCCAGGCAGAGGCGGGAAAGCAGCAGGAGCAGGGCAGGCGGCGTGGCACCCCCCTTCTCCCCGGGGCTATCACAGAAGTTCTGAGCTGTCTGGCACATGGAGCGGATGAAGCCCACGATGAGGCTCTCACGGACACCCTGGCTGCAGAACTCGCCCTGTGAGGAGGAGCGCCCCAGATACACAGCAGGTCCAACCTTCCAGGCAGAGGCTGCTAGTGACCTTCTACTGGGACTCGAAGTGCCCTGGCCTCTCTCCAAGGGACAGTTTCACCCCACATTCCAGAATCCCAGAGCAGCTCCCCTGCTGTGGGAAGGGAGTGCAGGGGGCCAAAGCCAGCACTGGGGACCCTGCTTGCAGATGCCCTCAGAGCCTGCCCCACCCTTCCAGGCTGTGCCAGCCTTCCTCAAGGCAGCCTGAAACCACATCCAGACTGCCTGGGGCAAGGACTGTGTGCCCTGGTAGCTGCCCACCTGCATGCAAGATAAACGAAAGAATGCCCTGAAAAGGAAGGAAGAAAAGAAAAAGGATGCCCAGGGGAAGATCATACCCGGAAGTAGGGCTTGTTGGAGAAAGACACCTCCTTGGCAGTGAAGAGGTGCACAGAGGCCAGCGAGGCCTTAATGTGGCTCAGGGTGGAGCTGGCCACGTTGGCCAGCAGCTCGGCCAGGCCGGGGCCTTCCTTCCCAGCAACTCGAGGGGCGGCCAGCGCCTGCCGCACGTCCGTCAGGCAGCCCAGGAAGGCCGACTGCAGGCCCTGCAGGTGCTGGCCCAGGCGCTCGCGGGCCACTCGCTCCACGATCTCTGTGGC